GGAATATATATATTACAAGTACATCTACCAAGAATAATATGTATACCCTGACAATTCGACTCAACCTGATCAGCAGTATTGGTGTATGCATTTGATCTGCTATCAATACATGGTGTACATATAACAGGGAAAGTTATTTCTTCTTCCCATCGGACTGAGAATGTATAGATTTGTTTTGTCTCCCATATGATAGGCTGGATCGACAAATGTACTTACAGCTGAAGATTCGTATTTCCTGGGCAAGTTACGTTTAATGTCACACAAAATTGATGGTCTACAGATCAAAACCAACAAGATGGAAGAAGAAGAAGCTACAAGTGGGGATAACAAGAAGAAGATTCCTATTATCAACAGTAATGTCAAGTCGGTTCTTCTATGTGATTCAGCGATTTGGTGCGCCAAAAGTAACATTTCGAACAGGTTTCAGAATTTTCTCCACGGCCGACTTCTTTCGAAGCTGAAAGTCAGATGACCAGACAGAAAGGGTAGACAATGTTGAAATCTGGTAACGTAACAACCAAGCGCCTATTGGCTGACAGTTATGCCAAAGAAAATGGAGACGGAGTGGAAATACGCTGAGTTGACCGTGGAGTGACATCGTGTAAAGGCAGTCGCTAGTGTGTAACCAGAATGGGAATCGAAGAGTTAGGCGTCTGAAAATGATACTGATTGACCGTATCGTTAATATAGTGTTATTAATTAACAATACTAAACATGGTGATAATAATAAAAAGAAAACTAAAATATGGTGACATGATAAGGTGAGTGAGTGCATAGAAGGCTTCTGAACTCATAGACCTCATTTCAGTCTGAGAAATGCCAATATTTCTGCAACGAATAGATAGAGTGTTTTCGAATTCTTTTCGTGAGAGACAATAATAAACTATGTAGCAGTAATAAGCAACTATACGTTGGGTGCCCGGTGTATATATAGATGAAAAGGTGTTTTCAGATGAGATTGCTGGCATTCTTATTTCCTCGTCTCCTGTGGAGCTAAGTACATCAGCCGTACACAGCATGAATTCCTGAAACGTATTCTGGAACACTGTCCAGTCTGGTTACCGAGAGGAGGAAAACCTGGAATACCATTTGACTACTGTCCTGGAACACCTTGTCAACAGTAATTGAATCTCTAGACATTCACTCATTAAAGTAGTCTAAAGTAGTGGACACACCAAGTTGATGACATCAGTTCTAGTGAATTTCGGCATTTTTCAGAAAGTTTATAGCCAAAATTTCTATATTAACCCTCCCCTGATTATGACTGCCAAAAAATATAGTGATACTTAGTGGAAAACTGAAGTTGATGTGACAACTGAGAAATTATGAATTCTCACTTAGATTTTATATCATTGTTAATAACATTATGATTTATCTCCGCAATAGTTTCACGAGGTTAACAATGCTGCTCGTGGTAACTTTTCTTTTGCTCAAAAGAGTTGCAACAAATATTCCAGGAATCGAAGATGAGCATGTGGAGCGAGTTATATTGGCCGTTGCTCTAGGAACTTGAATTTTCACGCTAGCTGGGAACATCTAGCAGTATGGCTGAGTAAAGATGTAGTGAAAACCATGAACAGTTCGATATTAGACCACCTGGTCCAAACCAACTGGCTACAAAGCCAGCCAGCCAGCATTGAAGAATCCTTCTCAACCACCTGCCGGGTACCAAATAAATTGCCAGAATCATTGAGGTAGCGCACACTTCGAACAACACAGGCTATTGGGATTCGCGTGAGACAACCACCAGTGCTTTGTGTGCAAAATAAACAAGTCCAGCCAGCCACTACTACTGCCCTGGCCGGCCTTCAGTGAAGACGATAAATTCATGAGTTTGTATTATTATCTTTCCTAGTTTCTCCGTCTGATATTCAGTGTGTATTGCAATATTGATGCCATTGAACTGTGATCCACTGATATTATTATTATTGATTCGATGTTATTTAAACAAAATTAATGTTGTTGTTAATAACACTAATTCGTTCACTCAAAATTATGGATGGATGCATAGCTGTAGAACCTGATGAAGAGCAGGCTTACATCGAAAATGTGAATATTCTTCGTTTAGTAAACATTCTTCTGAAAAATCGAAGGTGCATAAAACATTGACAAACAACAGTGCTGATTATTTGACTCTAAGTTTCATTAGTCGTCTGTGTTGTTATCACTTAAATTACTCAAATTATACGTTGGTTTGTTACCAGCCATAGTTTCTTGTTGCTAATTCTTTCTGGCCAGTCGGATGGCAATTTGATCTTCAGTATGGAGCCAGTGAGCCAGTGAGGCAACAAGCGTAGGGGCGGCTGTTGAGAAAAGTCTGTAATTTATTGGATATCTTTTCCGTGACACGCAGTACAATTGTCTGACCCGCGTAGAAGAACTGACTGCCTGACTTCATATTTGTGTTGAACAGAATCCGAATCTTGTTCGTTTTGCTGAATCACTGCATTAACTGCCAGACCAGTTTCATGTTGATGAAAGTCTGTGTCACCTTTCCGATTCTGAGTTTAACATATTCAGCTTGTTCGGAGCTCGAAACTATTCATAATAAAAAAAACGACCTGCTTTACGCCATTAATGGCAATCAAGAGGATAGGCATAATTACATGATTCTGCAGGCATTAGCTCCCATCGGCCAGTGCTGTTCTCTAACCAGACCAAGTAAAAAGACAAAAACATGATGGTCATTTCACTTATTTACTGCCAGCCACAACGTAAAACTCAGCGATGCGCTCAAAGTGCATACAAGAGTAAGACAAGCTGGCTGTGGTGGACTGGATTATGCGTGAGACTGTTGGGGGCGAGGAGTCAGGGAAACGTTGGACGACCAATCAGAAGACTGTAGAAGATCTAGATTTCGCGGACAACATCTGTCTTATGTCACACAAACTTAAATACCTGCAAGCGGAAACCAACAAACTGGCAGAAGAGGCAGGCAGCGAAAACAGGACTCCAAGTGAACATAGAAAAGACCGAAGTGATGAAGATAATCAATCAACAGCAACAACAACCAGCACGAATGACCATCAATGGGGGAGATTTAACAGAGGTTGCCTCCTACACTATTCTGAAAAGAGTTCTCCATTGTCACTGATTTCATTGAGAGCCTCTCGACCCATAATCAATTCTCTTCCTTTATTATCTCCTCCCAATTTAGCATTCGTATCAGAAATTAGGATTCTGATGTCACCATTTCGACTGTGTTATCCACCGCTTTTTGTATTTGTCTATAGAAATCTTCCTTCTTCTCTTCTCCTGCGTTGTTTGTAGCACTGTGCGTATCACTACACTAGTGTGACCTTCCTTCCTTCCTTTGGAGTTGAATCTTGCTGTCATGATCCTGCAGAATGAAAATGGTTCCCACTGCAAGAAAGGCTTTGGCTGCCACCAGTGAAATCACGATAGCCACTCACTGCCTCAGTGTGTTATTGGTTGTCGTTTGAGTGACCAGACTGGAGTAGATTACTGATTATCAAGTCAATAATTTGGGTAGTCCACATTCACTCCACAGATTCCTACCACTTCCGTGCTATATTTTCTCATTTATTTGTCAACCTAAGCAGCCTTCTGAACTTCGGAAATCGTGTGAAAACTCCACGTCCTCAAAGCTGTTTTCTATTTCATCTGAATTAGACACATCGGTTAACTGGATTACCGAAAGCTCTCACTAGTTCACGTCAGTTCTTCTCTCCAATTTCAGAGAGCAGTAAGTTTATCTTGTATATTTTTTGTTCCTGTGCTTGGACCTTTCTTTAGATATTTGGTTGATATTCTGTGATAGGTAAGCTAGCTCCACATCCAACCTTCCTTTTTCTCTGCAATTAGGACCTACTAGTACACTAGTAAACTCAGTGAGATTAAGTTTAGTGATTGTGTGTGTGCGTAAAATTTGTCTATCAGACAGTGATGAGCATTTCGAAGACTTGCATCTACAAAATTCCGTCTTCCGACTGTGAACTAACGAGGTTTAGCTGTACGCCTGTTGACAGCTACGTACCACACAAATAGTAGCGGATATTCTCTCAATTTTCTGTTATGGAAGCAACTCAGAAGAGCTTTAAGACAACTCAGAATAAAAAAGGAAATATGCCTACATCTATCCGAAATCACTCTTGTGTTTTGTATCGTCCAGCTGTAGCCTTTAACCGCGAGTGGCTTTATTGTATATCCCTACTACGTGTAGCAAAACAGTTCATCTCTATGGTGAATCTTTGCCCTAATAACCACTGGATAGAGGAGGTGGCGCCACTTCAATATATATAATCGTCCACTTCAATCGCTGTGCATTCTTAAAAACAGTCATTTTGTCATGTTATTTTTTAATATGTTCGCGATCTTTGAAGTTCTATTTTTTGTTAATTCAAACTTATTCACACTAGATGATACAATATAACAAAAAGGATGCTAAATGAACTTTGGACATTTTGCTGTAACGTTCCGATGTTATTTTAATGAGGTAACTTTTATGCCCAACAATTTACTCAACCTTTGGACTTGAAATCAATTCATAAGACTTCGAACACATTTTCAAAATTGATTCATTCAATTATTCAATGTTCTATTGAAACATTGAACCCTTCAGAGTATTTTTAAACTGACTAGAATGATATTAAGAACTATCAGCTCATTAGATTACTGTATAATTTCACATTTGTTTTGTTTAAATAAACTCATCCAATAATATGAAGGTTTATAAGATTCTCTTGAGTTTCTCACTGTTATTCAACTTAACGACATTGTTATTGGCTACAATACCGAAAGTGGAACAATACTTCAATAAAAATGATTTATGTAAAATTAGTAACACACTGAACATTGAGCATAATTACTCCGGATGTCATATTCTTGAAGAAGCCATAAAACGTTTCATGTTACGATTAAATATGCTCCATCCTGTGCTGCTATTCCCCCAGTTCGAAATCTGTACAATATCAAAGATTGCGATTGTAATCTCAGAAGGATGTGATGAAACAGAGAGTAAATTATGGCCATATTATTCAATGGATGAGTCATGTAAGTTGAATTGACGACCAGTGGTGTTTTCGAGTAGTGCTCTACAACATTGTGATTCCTTTAGATACATTGAATATATCTCAGAATACTTTGTATATTCAATCACATGAGATATGGGGAACACTGCACGCTTTTGAGACTATCCTTCAATCATTGTATAAAGCTACACATAATCAAGTAATGTGTTTTATGAAAAATTCACTTGAAAATTACACCAGAATGTGATGTTTATTTGTCATATTGAAGATTCACCACGATTCCCACATCGAGGAATGATGATTGATACAGCTAGGCATTATTTGACAATTGAGACAATACAAAATGTGATTGTAAGTTGTGTGTTTGATTTCCCGCTAATGTTTTATACACAAATATAAACAAAGGATGCTTTGTCGATGGTGAAAATGAATGTGCTACATTGGCATATGACAGATGATGAAGCTTTTCCGTATGATTCCTCAGTGTATCCTGAATTGTCTTCAGCGGTAGAAATCTATTTTTGAATTGAAATATAAAAGTAATCGTTTTTCAGGGAGCATATCATCCACACTTGTATGTGTATGAAAAAGATGAAATCGAGTCGATAATAGAATATGCTCGAATACGAGGAGTTCGAATTCTGATTGAATTTGATAGTCCAGGTGAGTAAGGAGCAGTATTCTTGTTATGATTATTATTATTTACTTAGGTCCTGAGTGTAACATAGAAATTCAAGAGTACATCTTCATTTTAACCTGTTCTCGGAATTTCCTTATAGCTGGCACCACGATTGCCCACAAGGTATTATGTCCTCTTATATTACGTCTTCTTTGTCACACTGCGACGCCTAAATCATCGTTTTGCATTAGAGTTCCACCCTGGGTATCAGGATTTGATGTCACTCAACACTCCCTACATCTCCCATATATCTCCATTTACCTCTCAGTGATTGTTTGGTTATGGGTTCTTCGACGGTTCGTTGGGCTACTAGAGTTCCTAGTTGCTTAATGTTTCCTGCCGACCACCTGATTGCCAGTCGATAATCGTCTGCAGTAGCCTGTTTGGCGCGTGAGTCAAGTCTTTTAATCATGCAGAAGAACTAACCAACTTGATATTAGTGTTGAAAATCTGAATCGTGTTCTTTATGTTGAGTGCAACCAATGTCCCCGATGCTTACAGAGTGATGAGGGTTCGTCTTACTTTTTCAATCTTGGTTATCTTTCACATCCTCACGTTGGCTGTCTGTAGATGAAACGACGCTGCCTAGATAAGTGAAGGATGCAACCTGTGTCAGGTCTCTACCGGTAATGTTAATTGGTGCTGGTCGTTGTTGCTATTGCTGTTGTTTGGTTATCGTCAGCACCACCGTCTTCCCTATGTTCACCTGGAGTCCTGTCTTCGCTGTCTGCCAGCTTCTCCAGCCAGTTTTTTTGATTTTGCCTGCAAGTCTTCGAGTTTGTGTGACACTAAACACGAATCATCCACGCACGAAGTTCAGACCTTCTAGAGTCTTCTTATCGCGCCAACTTATTCCCGTCTTTTCACTCCTAAGTAGATTCTGACGCATAATCCAGTTCACCAAAATTAAGAATACCATCCATGGTGATAATAAGCAAGCAGCCTTGATGTACTCCTGTATTCACTTAGAACGCCTTTCTGCGTTTTCTGTTGTAGACCACCTGACACGTACCACTATCATGTAGCCAGACGTTGAATGAGGTTGATGAAGACTTGGGTACTGCACGCAGTAGTGTTGAAGTAGTTCCCAAATTAATTCTCGGTCTGTTGGAGGCCTTTTCGAAGTTGAGGTAGAGGGAGGTTTGACTGCCGTTCTATGCTTTGTTCTGTGATGATGATGCGTCGAGTTGCAATTTGATCAGCGTATGATTTGCCTTTCGTGAGCCTAGCTTGCTCTGGCGGGCAGAGTTCTGCATCCAGTGAAATTCCTATGTGGAAGTTATTGCATTCTGTAAAAACCAAGACACATCAACCACACTGGCATCAATCAATATTTGACCATTACAATTGACTTTTCGTAAGATGTTACCTACTGCATTTCTTCCAGTCCTATGAGCACACTATATAATGACTGCCTCTATATCTATTTTACAGGTCATACTCTCTCCTTGGGTGCAAGTCACCCTGAACTACTATCGGGTACATCACATGATGGACCAATAAGACCAGTCGGTGAGGATGTATGGACGTTTCTATCAAGTTTATTCCAAGAAATTCTGAGTGTATTCCCCGATAGCTTTTTACACTTAGGCGGCAATAAGTATGATAGTCATTCATGGTAAGTTTGGCGATTTTTGTTGAAATTATAATTCAGTTTATTAAAGAGAGAATCAATTACGCCCTGGATGAAAAACTTAGACAGAATGGAATCACGCAAAAAAAGACTTGGAGGATCTGGACTTCGCCGATGACACATGTATGTCTGATTTCCCACAAACTGGAAGATATGCAAGCGAAAAGCAACAAGTTGGGGATAGAAGAAGCATCCAGAGAAGATAGCACTTCAGGTGAAAATAGAGAGAACAGAGATGATGAAGATTCCTGGCCAAAAGCGGTGGCAACAGCAACAAAAACAGACAACAATCAGCATAAATGGGGGAAATTTGAAAGAAACAACCTCCCTTACCCACCCACCTACCTGGGTGATTACTCTGAAACTCATGTGGAAATCTGTTACAATAAGCATAAGGAACGAGGCCTGGATCTTTAACACTAGTGCAATTTAGTGATTGCTTCTATGTGGTTCAGAGATTTGTGGCGTTATGGAAAGCATTCCCAACAGGCCGACACAGAATCCCACCAACAGCTGAATTTGATTCATAATGAAGATCAGATTGCTGGCCAAAAAGGATGAGCGATAACGACCTCTGCCAATGAACGAATCAATCAAGAACCCATTGCCCAAGAAACATTCTGAAGTAAATGGAGATGGACTGGACACACACGAAAGAAACGGTTGAGTGACAGTGCAACCTAGGCAGACCATTGAGTGGAACACAAATGGAAAACGATGAGTTGGTTGTTGGAGAGAAATCGTATTAGGAGGGGAGGAAAGATAACGCGTAGTCGTGGAGCAAAATAAAGAGAACTGCAGAGAACAGGATGAAATGAAGGTGCGTTGCTGAAGACCTATTTTCCATTTGGAACTTATTAGAATCTTAATAATAATAATAGGCAAGGCTGTGTGGTACTTTGTTGGATCGCTATATGCTACACAGTACCAACCTTACCTAATTCCGCACTTAATCAATACACTGGCCAACCTGCAAATAATTTTAACAAACTACGAATGAAAAGGAATCAGCCATCCAGAAGCTCACGGTGATGTGGAAGATATTTAATAAATTTTGAGGTTATCTGAATAAATTGTTCTAGGATTTATTTGGCTAGTATGACTCAAGTGAAGAGGATATGTGTCTTACCAGAACATTGGAGGGGCATCTGAGCCTGGTCGACTGCCTACCCGTTAAAACAAAACTCAAAACACCTATGACTTCAGTAAGTCTGCCAGATATTTATTTAGCTAATGTCATGTTGATTCGCATCACTTGTTTAGAAATCTTGCCAACCACGCACGCGGCCCACGTTCAATTCCAGACGCCATGGAAGTTACAATATAAGCCTTTCGTCAAAATCCATCATACTTGTTGCTGTTTGATTTAAATGAATGAAAGTCTGACATAAACACGCCTACACAAACACCTACAGACATTAATGAATATTAGTGAGTAATTCATCAGTGGAAAAACTACATTATGCAGAAGGTTTCACGAGGCTTTCATCGGTACTCATGACATGTCTAATTCAAGATGTTTGTGAGTTCTAAAGTATCATTTATAAATATTTATATCGATTTAGATCACGGATTGATCTCAGACAGCGGAACACTAAAGATTAAGGAGTATCTCACAGCTGTTTCGTCCTTGTTCGATACACTTCAGATGTGCGCACCCGTTACCCTACAGTGGAATGAACCTAAGACAGGTCAGCCTACGAGTCACTGGACGAAAACTAATGGTCCATGAATTCTAGTTTTTGTCAGTTTCCAGTATATGGCACAACCATTACTAGATTTGGCCTCGGTGAACTAAGAGTCGACGGACTTCACCAGTAACCCAAAAGCCCAGGGTTCAATTGCTAGCAGGGGCCATGGGTGCATTCCCTAAAGAGCCCCAAGTGACGCCGAAACATCTAGGCAGTATTTCCTGTTAGTCTTCAACAGTTTCCTAACCGATCTCAGTCAGTTAGTGGTCTAAACTGAAATCAGTGAAAAACTGTACAAAACAACCCTTCAAAAATTGTATGTACAATAAGAAATGTTATGTTCTATTTGATAGGGAAGAAGACGTGGAGATCCAAAACTTCATGGAAGAGAATGGATTTGACCAAGATTATAATAAACTAGAAAATCGTTATTTTGAACAGCTCACAGAAATCATTCAGAATATGACTGCAAATTCAGGTGGTATTACACCTGTTGTCTGGCAGGAGGTATTTGAAAATGGTTTTCGTGTGAGTTTAATTGAAACTTTGAAATTAGTTATAAAACTACACTGTACTTCATATTTTCATTTTATTATCATTATATGAATAGTATTCAAAGCAAGATATAAGTTAGGAGTATAAGTGATTTTGTACGTATAATGTGAACATGTATGACAATGACTGTTGAAAGAGTTCAAATATCTTATCGAAAGTTAAGGTTCTTCAAAAGCTGAGCTTCAAGAACCAGTCAGATAGAGAGAATGGTACACAGGGTCATTCCAAATCAAATCTTGTCTGCCTTTTTTGAATTGGAGAGGGTAAATACATTATTCTACTTATTCCCTAGTTACTTTTTCTAGAAATCTGTACTGTTAGCTAGGGCTATGGCTTTTAAGATCAAGGCTGACACTCTAGGGTTAAGGTTAGGTTTAAGGTTAAAATTAGGATAACGGTTAGAGTATGTTGTAGGTTAAAGAAAAGTGTCAGAAATATCAGTGGCTCTCAAATTACCATGATCTACAGTCACCTGGATGAATGTATCTATCAATCATAGTACTGTAACAACAGAAAGCAAGACACGGGAGGCAAAGTATATTTTTCATTGATCAAATCGCTGTTTATATATATACAGTTTATATTCTTTAACCAACCACTGAGCGTGTGATTTCGGTTTACATAAAAGGACATGAAATAGAATGTTCAAATATACATAGTATTCTGTTGTTAATGCAGTATATAACTGCTGGAATATGGGAGAATAGTATTCCGTTGGCACACATTGTCTGTATCACATCACCACAGTATGACTTCTTTATAGATCATCTACGAGACATTCTTACAACACATACTCGACAATTATAAAGTGTACTATCATGTCGACAATGGTTTTCAGTGCAATTTTCTACGATTAATCAACCGTTTTGCGTCTGAATTCTGATTACCGGATTATATGTATTCTGAATAGTTCGGAGTCGTAACCATATGCACATTTTCACAGAACGTCTATGTCAGTGTCTGGACAACATCCCAATTACACTGTTTCGCAATGCTATCACCATCTCTTATTACATACAATTAGGTAATGACATTTGTATATAATATAATAATACTAGTGATAGCTTTATTCTGAACAATGTTTAAATAATGTACAGAATCTTCAGCAGAGTTTTCTGCATGATATTTCCTCTTCGTCAAGGATCTTCAAATAAGAGATCAGTTGTCAGCAGATCATGTGACATAGTTCTATCTAACCTGAAGCCCAAACTTGTCCGTCATTATGATATCTCTTCTTTGTCTCTTCTTCGAGAAATACACGGCCTTATTTTGTTAAATGTCAAGTGTAAAACATTTAAGAGAACATTTTGTGAACCAGTCACACTATTCAGGAACGGTCATTGTATGTGCAGGGATAAGCTGCCATCCAGGAGGATAATGCTTCTCTTATGAATCTTCTTATGAATCAGCAGGTTGTCAATGTTTCAGATACTCGCCAGTTTACACGATACTATTAGAGGTCAAACTTTACTAGATTTAAACAAACTGAATAAGGGAAATTACATGCAACACAAGAATTTGTCCTATTTTCTCCGAAAGAGTCTAATAGTGTCAGAGGAATGTTTAATTCCCTTGAATATTGCACAATTGATTAAAACGCGTTTCTTATGCATCACAAACGTCTAGGAGGATTTATTGATTTGAACGGAAAATAACCAAGAAATTGGGAATAAAATGGAAACTTCTGTGGAATGATAAGGAGGAGGAGGAGAAACAGGAGAATACGTCCACAACCTCCTACGTTGCCCCAATACTTTCCTCGTTTCTTTCACAATAACAGCCCTATACTACTGCTCATTTTCACCAGTTTTTCCCAACAGTATCTTGTATGTGAGTTTTCTCAAGTAGCATAGTGTAATAAGTCGTCTCAATTATTCGTTGACATCTCATATGAGTAACGAACTAAATAGAATCTATAGATCTCCAGAAAAATATTAAAACAATACACTAATAAGCTTTCGTTTTATGTCACAATTTATTCCTCAGGGCAATGCTAACACTGTCATTCATGTTCAGAATGAGTCGAATTGGGAGAATCTAGTCAAATCGATTACATCAACTGGTTATAAGGTGATCAATTCAGCGTGTTGGCAGGAGATTGATAATGATTTTGCACGGAATGGGGAGAAATTGTACAATTGTGATCCAGCTAAATTTGAAGGTGAGACAACATTACTTCACATGACTTCGGTTCACTTATTATCCCTTTTTAATGGACTTATATGTATATAGGTTATCTGATAACCGGGATGAACTCCCGATGCTTGCCACAGCTTGCTGTCAAGCTTTTAAATATTTGTCATCTGGCAGGCTAGTGACTGGACTGAGTAGCCACAGGTTTCTGAAGTTGCTTTTCCAAGTTTAAGCAAAACGGAGAGCGAATGGTTGTATACAGTGGGAAAGGAGTTATGTGTAATGAAGATGAGACATTGAGTGACAATGTAGTGAGTCTAACTGAAATCATAGAAGCGAAAGACAATCAGAATTACATTTAAACAAACGCGGAAGAGGCTGAAGTGTAAGATTACGCAACAAAATAAAATGGAGATTAAAGGCTTCGAGTAACAAGGGCAAGGACAGACTGACAAAAGCTTCTTTCTAAAGACATACATCGGATTTCAGGAGCTTGATGGCAGTCGCTTCTCCTCAAGTTGATTAGTGCTTCTTGGAGCCTTCTCGGTGGTTATAAACATTAATCTATGTTAGGAAAGCGTTCTTTGTTGGGACAAACACCTAAGTTGTTTATTACGCCATCTCAGTCTTCCATCAAACTGAGAATATGTGATTCCACTTTCTTTTCTGAAAGGTACTGATGAAGAGGCCGGGTTGGTTATCGGTGGAGAAGCGATAATCTGGGGAACATATGTTGATGATATCAATCTCTTCATAGAGGCGTGGTAAGTGGTTTTAAACATGTGATAAGGCTTCATTCTCCACATCGCCTCTACACCACGCAGTATTCACATAAAACTTGTTATAATAGTAAATAGTAGGAGTCTCGCTTAGATTTTTGTTCAATATGAAAACTTAATGGATTCAAACAGCAATGTCTCCACAGGCTGGATCGTGACAAACTATGTGACAGTAGACAACTACCGTGTCCTACAGTAAGGCTCTACAAATTTATGCTTCTGGAACTCTTGGAATGTCTGAGACTGGGGTTATTGGATTAAGATGTAAACACATTACTATCGAGGTAATTGGTTACAATTCCACAATGCAAAACATCCCTCTTCACTCAATTCGTCATCTGATGCCACCTGTCAATCACTTTAAAAGTAATGCTGAACCGAGTAGTGGAATAAACTGAAGAATCATCGGTGAACCAAATCGAAATGGGTTACTGGAGAGTTATGTGCTCTGACAGTCTTGAAATGGTCCTTGCACAGAATGGAACAGTAATCTTGTGGACTTTCTGTTTACGACGCGGCGAGCTCGTAGACCATTAAGTCACTGGGACCTGATTCAACGACCAGCCCATGAATTCCTGATATGGGACATTAATGAAACTTTTAAGAATTATATGTGAACTAATTGATGACAGTTCATTGACCTGGGTAGAACGGATACATTTATGGTATGAAACCCCCCTTCAGTTCATGTGATTAACAACATGTTACCCGCACCGACCACCCACTCGTCGCTTACTATTGAGATTCCACTCGAGCCATAGCCTGCAATTCGCGCGATATCATTCGACGGCCTCCTCAAAGTATGCCTAATCAATCCTTCTCCCTTTCCGCCAACATACTTGTTGACCAATCAGCTCTCGATTGGTTGTTTACCAGCAAGAGATTCTTGTTGCTAATTCTTTTTGGCTCACCAGCTGGCCATTTGATTTTCAGTATGCAGCCAGCCAGTGAAGGTGGCAGTTGTTGATAAAAGTCTGCTGTAACCTGTTCGAAAAACTTTTCATGACACGTAGTGCAAGTTTCTGACCTGTATAGAACTAACTGACTGACTGACTTCACATTTGTGTTGTACAGGATCCGAACTTGTTCTTTATGCTGGTTAAGTCAGTGCGGAAAATCTCCAAACTGGTGTCAGGTTGATGAAGGCGTCTCTTTTCTTTCCGATCCTGTCTGGCTTTGATATCCAAATCCGTCCCAACTGTCTATGAAAAACAGCTCAAGTTCATCATGTCATTTATATGTTGTTGATGAATAGCGTTGAAATGCATCATGTGCACTTCATGCCATTTACCACCGACATAGAGTTTGAACCTATGGCTGATGATTTCGAGTCTCATTTGAAAGAAGATAACTCGCAGAGAATAGGCGGTACATCTCACTGACGAGATACAAAATGGAGCTGAATGTGTACCTTAGACTTCACCGCTCGTCGTCATCAAACACACAACATTGTTTTGGCCTTAAGGCATTGATTGACAAAGCGCTTTCAAGCTGGTGGTATTTTGAAAAACGTCTACTCAAAGAATGACCTGAAAAGAAATGACGTGTTGCTAGGCTACTCAAATAGACTGGAATAAATGTATCCAAGTACTAGTTCACTCATAATCCCGTGTTACTTGAATAAATTAGCACCATGCCAGTTACCTCCAGTTCAGAGATTATGCTAACAGAACTAATATTTATCCAAAAATAACATCTTTGCATTTAGAGAATAATTCCTAAAGATACAATGTTTTTTACCACTATGTGAAGGCCACTAACCGCTGTTGTTGCTGAACGTCTATGGTCTCATAATGCAAATGACTTTGGTGAATTTTTGAAAAGATTGGAGAAACTTCGATGTCGAATGAGAGTGTAAGTTATGCATGTGTATTGAAATCAAGGCATGTATGCATGCCAACTCTTTTTATCAATCTTGAAACTGACAGATATGCTACAAAGTTTGATCTCAGCAATCCCATGGTTTGAACTCATTCGAATCTCTGAGCTGGGTCAAATCGGATACACCGCTAATGGGGCTTGGCCGCAAACTAGGGAAACTTCCGCCATGTGTCTAGATCACCTCAGTCTGGCTGGATAGCAAGCACTACTGGTTGATGTTTGTATGGCATACAACTACTCACCTCAATCAATCAGTAGTATATATACTTCTATGGAAATTCGCTTGTTTTCTTGATTACCATTCATGGAATCAATTAGATCACACTCAATGAACTGCATAACTTGGTTTCCAAAGGAAACTATGATGAAACCACACACCTCCAACTGTGTACACTGAAAAGTGCTTACTGATTTGATGTCAACAAACCGTAATCTACATCTCAATTCAGTGTGGGACGTACTCTGAAGTGAGATTGTGAAAGTGTTGGATGCTTCAGAGAAATGTCCATCATGAATACTGAATTCTGCCATTTCATGTTATACAGCTCAAAAGTCAGACAATTTCATCAGCTGGTAACTTTCCTCTCACGTGACTTGGTTGATCCAGTTGACCATTACTTCTCACTGAAACTACAGGCTATTTCCTGTACAGGTTCAGTCTCAGGTGAGCATCGGAATAATTTCCAAGTGTTGGTTTGCAAGGATTTCTTTCGTTGATTACAGGTTTGATCCTTTAGCCTGAGTTCCAACCCCAATGGATGCATACTGATGAAGATTCCCAAATTGGGATGAATCACCTGTCCAGTTCTCTCAGGTTTCTCTACTGTTCTCTAATTGATGTCACTCTGTGATATAACTTGAAATCAATCAAACTACTGCAAACCAACATTTGAAAACATCAGAAAACTACTGTTACTAATCTATTTATGTGTAGTGTGTGTTACAGTGAAGGATGTCAACGGTTGCAACAGATACACTACATGCTTATGCAAGTGTTTATCCTGAAACTTTCAAATTACTGGTTATAACCGGAACAGAGACAAATTAAAACAATAAACCAATGGTCTAAAATACGAAATATGTATATATAGATCAGAAATATAGAAAGATTATGACTGCCTAACTAAATATAGTGCGTGCACAAACGACTGAGTGTAACACAAGAGAGTGTCGGATGGAGTGGATTCTTCACCGCGTAATTTCAAATTAAATACGTGATTTGAACGGTGAACATTGGTATCCAGTGTTGAAAGGTGGATTTTATTTTAATTATTTATTATTCTCTTGGGTTCGAAGTCGCACAGAGGGCTTCCACAACACATCTCTACTTTGTTCTATACTCTGAAGTCCTCTTCAGTTAGGTCCACGATTGTCATACGATCTCCCATATGTCACCTTCGCGCCGACCACCCGCTCGTCGCTACTCATCCATTTTTCACTCGAGCAATGGCCAGTGTTGCGCGCAATATGACTCGACAGCCTCCTCAACCTATGCCCGATCTATCTCCATTTTCTCTTACATATTTGTTGAGCAATTGGCTGTTCGGTGGTTTGTTGCTAATTCTTTCTGTCTGGCCAGCTGGTCATTTGATCTTAAGTATGGAGCCATCGAAGAAGGCAGCTGTTGATAAAGGTCCGCATCCTTTTAGAATTCCTTTCCGTGACACAGTGAACGTTTCTGACTCCTATAGAAGGATAGACCGACTTCACATTGGCGTTGGACAGAATCCGAATCTTGTTTTTATGCCTCTGGCTGAGTCAGTGCAGAAGATTTCCAAACTGGTTTCGGGTTGATGAATGTGTATCTTGCCTTTCCGATTCTGGCTGGCTTGCTTTGACATCTTCATCCATCCCGTCTGCCTGTGTTTGAAACAGTGCTTACTAGATGACTGAAGAAAGTAAGTTGGTTTTCACCTGCAAGTCATTGAGTTTGTGTGACATAATACAAATATCACCTGCTAAATCCATACTCTCTACAGTTTTCTTATCGGTGGATGCTGCAGGATAATAATTTTGTGAAATTACTTACCACTTCAAGGAGGCGATGACAGAAGGTGAGCTGGAATCCTGCGTGGTGATGAGATTTGGTGACTTGCCCTCCGAATTACTAGACTTTCTTTCAACACTCGTGCATCGTCTACTACATTAAAATAAATCTGCCTACCTAATATGACCTTGGATGGTCTGACCGTCTATTGCTACTTTGTCAACACACTGCACATGTTTATGAGTTCGCATAGTGAATCAACAAGCTTGTTTATGATTACAGGATTAAAAGATTTCAGACATACACCTTTAAATTAACTGTATTTGTTTAAATTGAACCTACTAACATTTTTTATACTCATATAACAACAAACTTCAACACTTTTCTAGACTTAACTGGAAGGTGAAGCCGTTTACTGGGCCTGGATTCTGTTCCGTATGAAGAAACTGCCAAAGGAGGAATGTGGCAAATTCAACCATTCACAAATAACATTGAAACATTCGATACTCTAAGTGGACATGTTGAGAATACAAACACAATGCCACTATTGAAATTTATTTTGAAATAAAAGTGTATTTTGTTGAGGTGTGATAAGGTGAAACTCAACTCTTTTCTTCATTTACATCAAACTTAGTGTAACAGTGACATGTGATTTAATTCGCCCTCTGGTTATTTCTATCGCATACAAGGTGACATTTTTAGAGATTTTAGACAACTATGATGACCTCTTGATACTGGTATGTCTTCTTCCACTTCTTGACAAACTTCAGTGTTAATTGACTATGAGCACAGTATTTCTGACGATGTATCCTTCTGTTGAACGTGTCTTTGAAAGAAAGACTCTACGATTAGTTGAGAAAATGTCTTAGCAGTCTATAAGGTGCTAGATATTTGGTCATTATGTTACACTTGATCAGGTTTGCTGAAATTCATGCTCTGTAGTACCTACCAAAACTTAACCTGTAAAGGCTTATAAAGAAACATGGGCTGAAAAAATTTTCTGGAAAAAGAATTCAGTTAAGTAGAAAAACGGTCTAGGTGATTTCAGAGAAAATGAAAGCCAAATAACTTGTAGAATAATGGCTGTGTGAACCAGCACAAAAGCTTCGGAATGTAGCAATGAAGAATAAGTGGTTGCGTGTTCCTTAAAATATGTATAAATCACACGGTTAAAATGGTGTGTTTAAACAGCTGTGCAATTGTGGCTGACAGAGTGAAGGATCAGGGTAAATATAAGCTGATGAATCCCTAAGTGTATAAAATCCCCTGATGTGGATAAATTCACAGGTGAAATTCGTAGACGTCGGAAACTGTACAGAGGGGAACTTCTGAAATTTCTTCACCCTTATTTTAATTCTAGTGATCTCTTTCTCATAAAAATACAAACTAAATCCTAATTTTTGCGTAAGGCTTTTCCTTCGGTTAAGGCATTTAAACCTTCAATGGCTATCAGTTCCTGTTTAGAAATCTCAGCAATCAAAGTGGAGATATTTATAGACAACACAAGGATTCAACCACATTCTTGTTAAGTCCCATAATTTCCGGGATTTGCAGTGGATTTCTGCTGTGCTAACAGCATTTCCGCATCGCTCTCCAACTTGGTGATTCGTCACGTCTATAAATAGTCGAATTATTTATTTGCTGTTCCTTCGGCTTTCGAATGGAAAACAGTGCTTCAACAGTACATGACGGAATCAATGATTCTGTCTTCAAAATGTCAACAACCTACGTAAAAGAACTGGCTAGCTGGAACACTATAATAAGCGCCTCTCTTAGGATCAAGAAATGAAATTGTTACATATAGAGACTTTTGAAAACCAAAATTAGTTATGACATATTCGTATCTCCCATAACTCGGTCGAATACGGAAGTTAAAGGGGAGATGGGAGGCTGTTCTAGACAATTGTAACCAGGAATGCTGAACCCGATTTAGGTGTTCGAGTACACTAATTGGTCAGAGAAAATGCACCAGTCGAGGAACCTGTCATCAGAAGTCATAGCTGAGAGCTTTGTTGTGACGTCTAGTCAGCTGAAGGTTCTAGAAACTCATTCGAAATGTAGTCGAATAATAATCGAATAGGATAGCCAATGAATGGCATACGACTATCTTTTGACTTCTGCTCAACTTAATTATTATTTAACCTTTAGGTAACATGTGATGTTAATTTAATTCTCACTCCTCCAATTAACTTCTTTCTTTCCATTTCTATTTGAGCTCTACTGATATTTCGCATAGTGACATTTAAATAGTGTAAGGCCATAGACAGTTGACAAGAACCATTTAAATGAAAAGATGAGATGAATGGCGTAGTATCTTCGTGCTCAAGTTGCTGTTCTTGTATTGTTAACATTCTCGTTTTTGGTTTTAGACTTGTGTTTCTTCAACATAATCAGAGAATATGGGTAAATGAAAAGGGTGATTGTAGCTCAGATTTGCATTGATTAATTCATGAAAAACATTTCTCCTTCCTGTGAGAGTAAGGTACACAAGAGACACTCTTGCATTACTTAAAGGTAAGCTTTAAGGAGTTAGAAGATGAATAGCAGTCTTTCTGTGTCTTACAGAACTATGGTGTATTACATCTTACACAGAATAAAAACATACCCGGTACTACAATTAGTGGGTCGAACTGGACCAACTTAAAACTGACTAAACAAACGTCTATTCCATCTGAGGATACTTTAGGTGTTTTAAATTTTGTTTTAACGAGTGCACATCGGACTAGTCGCAGACATGATTTCGAGGCCCTCCTTTGTTCTGCTAACACACATCAGAGTCCGTAGCTCAGTCATACTGGTCAGATAAGTTCTGAAATCTTTTCCCCAAATAGCCTCAACATTTTATTCTACCTCAGAATATTAAATCAGATAACCAGGTGTCTATCCAGGAAGAGATCAAAGGGGATGAAAACAAGCAAAGTTGGTCGAGTGGACCTAATTATCAAAGAGGAGAGACAAACAGAACAATGGGCTTATCACTTCAAATGACTCTTGAATTTACTGTCACCTGCAACTTTTCCAGAAATGTCGTCAACATTAAGAACAAAACTGCCATTGGACGCCAATCTTCCAAGTCGAAAACTTGAATGCAATCAAGCCATTGAAGTCAGGGAAGGCGGCAGGATCAAAACGAAAATGTCAAAGCCAGCCAAGCAGAAAAGGAAAGGAAAGACATGCCTTCATCAATCTGAAACCAGCTTGGAAGTCTTCTGCACTCTGCAATGTACAGAACAAGATGCGTTCGGATTCTATTCAACAGGAATGTGAAGTCACTCAGTCATTTCTTCTATATGGGTCAGAAACTTGCACTGCATGTCACGAAAAGCATTTCCAATAAGTTAGAGACATTTATGAACAGCTGCCCATTTCACAGGCTCCACACTAGAGATTAGATGTCTGACTGGCGACGAAGCAACCAACAACAAATCGCTCAACAAATATTTTAGGGGAAAATGGAGATGGATTGATTGGATATACGTTGAGGTGGCAATCGAATGACATCGCGCACAATGCATAGGTGGAGTGGAGTCACAATGAAAGGCGACGAGTAGGTCGTCGATGTGAGGGCGATATGTGGGAGATCGGGCGAGTCAGAAAGGATGAGAGATTATGGTCAATCGTGTACCTAGCTGAAGAAAATAGAACATCAGAGAATAGAACAAAGTGTACAAGTGTAGATGGTGAAGCCCTATGTTCCACTCGGAATCCAGTGGAACAAAATAATGAATGATAATTGTTATTATAAGTCGTTAAATCCTTTCTTCAAACGGCCTTAACATTTTGTTCTGCCTAAGTCTTTGACTCATCAGAGCACTTTTTCAGATAACCGAGACTTTTCTATTTGTGTATGCTTAACAGTGATTACAAAAGTCAGGTAGCTTAAATATGAGGTGACATCATCTGAAATTCTTTTGTCAGCATTGTTACTTTTAAATTCCTAACTGGAAAACAAATTTTCAACTACATATTCGATTAATTTCGTACTGCGTGGAATCGCGATTAATTTCCACAAGTACTACAGAGATTATGAAGAGTCGAGGACAATGATAATAATTAAAACATCACAATAGAACAGAGAGAAATCAATAAAAACTATATTCAAATGCAACACATGTGACACAAACTCAAGGTGTTACAAAAGAGACTTTCCGAGGGGATAAAATTAGTCCACAGCGACGTCACTTTATATTCAACATTCACCACATTGGAAGCTCAGTAGAATGTGATTGAACCGAGTGATTCACACAGAAGTTTCAGAGATATTGTGGATTCTTCATGTTCTCTGCAACACACAATCAGTAATTTGTCATTGTGTGACAGTCTTCATAAATATTTTCTCGACTTTGTCCATCTAAAACATTTTTTCATATCATAATACTTTGATCTCTTTGATATTCATATGAGTTCTCCAAGTTATTGATTAATTTTTCAGTAAATGATTGGTACTTCTTTTTTTCAAATTCTGTGTGAATCTGCGTGTTTCAATAAAAACATGCCACTTTGAACAAACCAATGCAAAGTCCACTTCAAGTGTACATTCACCTCGAAGTATTGACACTATGATCCTAAAATGGCGATTTCATCAAATTGTAGTATAAAATGTTAACCCCTTTACCAAAACCAGAAAAACAGATAGATTCGAAAGAGCACGTTGATCATTTAACTCACTTAATCCTAACCCAGCTGAGTCATGAGACCTGCACAAAGGATCCTGATCCACCCATTCTTATTACTATGGTTCATTGCAATTTCAGAGTGTTTAATCCCCAAAGCGAAACAATATGCTTCAGAATTTTACGAATGCGGAATCACCAGATCTCTGAGTGTTGAACATAACTACAACTCGTGCTATATCTTAGAGGATGCATTAAAACGTTTTGCATTACGTCTAGAAGAAGTACCACAGCGGATTAACGCTCATTCACCAGATTCCTGCAAAGTGACCACTATTCAAATTGATATTACTGAAGGCTGTAATGAAGAAAATGGAAAATTATGGCCATCCGATTCAATGAAGGAATCATGTAGGTGGAACGCACTTTAGGTGTTTAAACACGAGGAATTTCGTCATCTAGATATTTTGAATGTCTCCCAAGGTACTATACACATTCAATCAGATGAAATATGGGGAGCATTACACGCTTTGGAAACAGTCCTGCAACTAGTGTTCAGAGATCAGAACTACAAGGTACAGTGCAGAAATGTGCTCACTTCACGATAATAGAATTCGATACTTGAGTGTGGCATAAAAGATTCACCAAGATTTCCACACAGAGGAATGATGATCGATACAGCCAGACATTATCTAAGCGTTGAAACAATCAAGAATGTCATTGTAAGTTGCCTTCCACCTCCTGCTCTTGTTATGTGACTCATAATTTTTGAATTGAAAGGCTGCATTATCAATGGTGAAGATGAATGTGCTACACTGGCATATGACAGATGATGAATCCTTCCCGTATGTTTCTTCAGTGTATCCTGAATTGTCTTCAAAGGTGAGATATTCCCAGTCAAATGCGTTATCACTGTTTTTTTTATTATGATTGTATTTTCAGGGAGCGTATCATCCACATTCGTATGTGT